AACAACTACCCAAAGATTGAGATACAGCGTTAATCTGTCCGATTTATAAAAAAGGAGACCCGCAAATATACAGTAACTACAGAGGTATTGCCTTATTAGATACAACATATAAAGTCTTATCATATTGTCTACTAGATGGAGTAGTACCCAAGGCCGAAAATATAATAGATATAATAGATGACTACCAGGGTGGGTTTAGGACCAATAGATCCACATCTGACCAAATGTTCATTCTAAGACAAATTATCTAAAAACGTTTGGAATTTGACAAAGATGTACACATGTTATTTGTGGACTTCAGAAAAGTTTATGACTCTATACATAGAGAAAGTCTGTTAAACATTCTCAAAGATTTCAAATTTCCCAGAAATATTAAGTCCAAAAGGTAAGTGGAGACAGTAATTCTAAGGGATCGAACACTTTAGCAATATCCGATAAAACTGTGCGTTTTATTGGGTTTATGGCAGACGGTTTGGTTTTAAACGAAAACGTGTCCAATAATGGATCCCGTTTAAGACCAAGAACTTTCAAATCAGATTGTTTACCACAATCGAACAAAACAGAAGGAGACATGGCATGGTCATCATCAGAGACATTGTTCAATAATTCACTATTATTGCTGGCCCACTTCCTTTATTGAAAATGAGCTAGTGAGCACAAGTTTATCAGTTGGGCTTGATACTCCAGGGCAGCTTCTGTTGAATTTGCGCCTGTTATAATGTCATCTACAAATGTATCGTTTAATAAAACAGAAGCAGCTATCGGCCATTTTGGCCCATCTACATTCGTTAATTCACGTACAGTGCGAAGAGCCTGAAAAGGTGCAGCCGATGTGCCGTAAGTAACAGTGCATAGGCGGTAGTCAGAAATGGGTAAAGTCGACGAGAATCTCCATAAAATACGCAAGTAATCTCGATCATCTGGACGAATGAGAATTTGCCTATAAATCTGTTTAATATCCGCAATGAACATATATTTCCACAACCGAGCACGAAGAAGAACAACTTGTATGTCAGGCTGTAGTTTGGGACCTGTATACATACATTCATTTAAGGAAATACCAGCTGTGGTCTTTGCAGACGCATTAAACACCACCCAAAGCTTTGTAGTACTACTATCTGGTTTAAGTACACAATGGTGCGGAATATAATAATTGAATGGATTATTTCTGTTGGTGGTATCAGCTCCATATGACCAGCCTTAAAATCATCCATGAAATCTGAGTATTGTTTATGAAGATCTGGGTTTCGATTTAATTTAAACTCGAGTGCTTTATATCGTTGCAACGCCAACGGTCTTGAATCACCTAACAGTTGTTTTCGAAACGGTATAGTGACCATAAATCTACCGGAGCTTAAGCGCGTCGTTGATGTTTTATAAATTAGTTCAGCGGCAACATCATCAGAGCTTAAATGATGACTAGTGGGCAGTTCCTCAAGCTTCCAGAACTTTCTAAGGGTCACATCGAGAGGGTCGGATATAGAAAGACATAAAGAAGTGATAGGCGACCGATCACAAGGTTCTGTTGGTCCCAGAAGTACCCAACCAAAGACAGTATTCATTGCGACTGGCTCACCGGGTTGTCCTTTTGCATACCTTCAAGATAAATTGATGGTAGCAGATCAACACTTAACAGCAAATCAACTGAACCGGGGATATGATATGTTGGATCCGCCAGTGGTAAATTGTTAATATGACTCCACGCTCCGATCTTAACAGGAATTTGTGGAGATGGTCTAATAATTTGGGGAACGATTGACACATCTACAGAGAATAAAGGCTTAAGTAAGCCAGACGGGACGATTTAAACTGTACATTTTCCACGAATAGAAGTAACAGTCGTATTGGCGAATGTACTGACGGTAACTGGCGAATGATAACGACGAAGCATTAGTGTACAAGCCGATTTTTCAGTCATGAAGCTTGTGAACCACAGTCTAACAGTGCTCGCAAAATATGGCGGTGTCCATCCGCTGCATAAGCTTTGAGCAGTACTGTGGAAAGCAAATCAACTTGCTGAGGTTGTCCTCGAATTATGAGTGATGTAGTATTTGACTGACTTGTTGATGGTAAACTAACTGAGGTAGAAGGTTGCGTGGAAACGGAGTCGAAATGTAGTAGTGTATGGTGACTTCGATTACATGACTGATATTTGTACTTGGAAGAGCATGCTGCTGAGTTGTGACCTGGATTAAGGCAGTTTATATACAAGTGATGGATTTTAGCGATGAGAAATCGTTCATTCGGAACCTTGTTGGTAAACAATTTACACTTTCGTAACGAATGAGGTAAATTACAGAGTTGACAATTTGGAACAGTGATATTGCGGTTCGTCGTGGCTAACAGGGTTGACGATCCTGTAGTGCGTGGGTTGAACATAGCAGGTTTATTTGGTCATTGAAATTTAGAATTTTTGTTTAGCTTATCGACGGTAGGTGAAGAATTTGAAAATATTTCCGCTGACCGCAAATAAGTACGCAAACTCAGTCACTTGGGGAAGATAATTATCTCCGACCATCAATTCCCAACGAGCACGTAAATCGTAGTCTAAATTCTTTTCAACTATGTGTACCAAAAGAAGGCTCCACTGACGAGTAATAAAATCCAAAATGTCAAGAGCTGTAGTATGTTCCAAAATTATATTAATTTGGGTTTTAATTGACGAAGTGTCATTTGATTTCACAGACCGTTTTACTAGGAGAGCATCAAGGTGTATACGTGCTAAATCACGTTTGTTGCCATACCGGGCTTTTAAAATTTGCCATGCACTATGATAATTGCTAGATGTTAAAAACAAGTGTGATATGAGAGATAATGCTTCTCCTTCAAGGGACGTTTTCAAATACTCAAAATGCTCAACATCAGGTAAATTCGGTGCATGAGACAATATAGATTTGAACAAGTCCTCAAAACTTTGCCACTCAGTCATAATTCCAGAAAACGTTGGAAATTTCCGTTTAGGTAATTGAAAAGACGACATATTGAACAAACTATTCGACTGTTGCAAAAATGAAGAAGCAGCAATATCCTTTGGAGGCGACAATGGTAATTTATGAATATCCGAAAAAGCAGCTAATTCATAATAATACGTATCAAACGCATCCACAAGTTACATCATAGCTAATTAGAGTAACGGGACTTCGGCAAGAGGATGCTCTGTCTCCAGTACTGTTTAATTTAGTACTGGAGAGAGTTATACGTGAGATGAACACTTCGGAGGGAGTTATATTAGGACAAATCAGAATTGGAGTGCTAGCATATGCAGATGATATCGCTCTCCTTAGTGAAGATTTAGATATGATAAATAGATTAGGAAGTAATCTAATAAATACGGCAAAAAAAGTGGGCCTAATCGTTAATGAGGAAAAAACAGAGTACCTTGTGGCTAGCCGAAGAAATAGAAATGGCGGTCGGGAACAATATATCAAAATTGAAGATCTGAAGTTCAAAAGAGTGTCTCAATTTAAGTATTTAGGGTCAATGATAACGGAGGATAATGACATCAAAGCAGAGGTGTCAACAAGGAATAAACAAGGAACTAGCGAATAGAGGATATTATGGACTTGAAAAAGTCTTGAAATCAAAGTTCTTATCCAAAGCCCTAAAAATCAAAATGTACATGACTCTACTAAGACCAATTGTTCTATACGGCATAGAAACTTGGGCGCTGAGAAAAACAGAAGAATCAACATTAATGATATTTGTGAGAAACGTTCTATGGAAAATGTTTAGCCCCATATACGATAGACAAACGAATGAATGGAAAAAACTTTATAACCTAGAACTCCAGGAACTTTTCCAGAGGTCGAATATAGCTGGAGAGAGCGTCAAGCGGAGACTAAGTTGGGCGGGACAGCTTGGCGGTGTAATATGCATATATTACTAAGAAATAATAATACGCATATTCCTGAGTCAATAAGGAAAAACGTACCAAGAATAACTTTGCACACATAAACTTTAATGAGTGCCACGTGCGAATTATAAATCATAAGAACAACCGCATTCGAATAAGACAATAAAGGCCAAGAGCAACCACGGACGAAACATAATTTGAATATGACGATCAAGACCAAGGACAACCACGTGCCGAAAACAACACAATTAAAACAGAATCAAACAGAGTATATAAAGGCTCCGTTTCACCACCAACGGCAGACGTGTCTAGCTATCAGACCAAGCCCTTCTGAGTTTTGTCTTTGATATTGTTAGTGCACAAATTTATAATTTGTATCTGTATTTGTATTTGTATTTATTAAAGTGTTTAAAAGTGTTTAAAGTAATTATTGAATCAATTTATCCTACTCCAACAACATCATTACGATAGGTACCACGTAATAGTGGCGCAGTCGGCATTTCGAACATCGTTCATTAGAATTTTGAGTCAATTTCATTAAAGAAAAATTGATCACTTTTCTTTGCGGAATCAACACTCAACTTCAATCAAACAATCAACATCAATCAACACTCACTTACATCCTTTAAAATATGACAACTCCACGAATCATCTTGGCGTAAGCATACGATTATAATTATAAAATATAACAAATCAAGACTGTGTACGTACACATTACATCATACCAGGTTTACCTATTTTAATATTACATATGAGTTGTAATAAAATTATTATTGAAATTATTGAGAATTATTATTGAGATTTATTGAAAATCATTATTGAAATTTACCATTGAGATTTATTGAGAATCATTATTGAATGTTTTACTGGTGTATGCAGCTTATATAATATATAAAATATATATTATCGAAAGAGATTATTATTGAGAAAGCTTATTATTGAAGAATTTATTGCATTTTATTGAGAATTTATATTAAACTTATTACTGAGAAGTTTATTGATGTTATAATTGAGAATTTTATTAAATTCTATTATTGAAAATTATTATTGTGAATTATTATTGAAATTTATTTATTATTATTGAAATCTCAAATTTATTATGTTAAACTAACATAAACAATATTACAACTCATATGTATGAAAACGACTATACTGATATTAGCGATACGTCTCCTCTAGAACTTGCAAATCTAGAGCAACCACCAACTAAAAACTCAACAGAAGGCACACCCAATTTAAACTAAACACCAAACAACTTAAGCATAAAAGAGGAACAATTAAAAAGGGACAATAGAATTAAAGAACTCGAAAAAAGTTTATTAATTAGTCCACCTCAAATAGTGACTAGGAGTAAAGGCCCGATAGAACCTCTATTTTTAAAAACACCTAAACGACAAAATAAAAAAATGACTAGCCCAACAGTCATATCAGAAATACCTACTACTATGGCAATAGACAAAGCTTTTAAATTTATTCCTTATTGTTCGGGAGAGGAAAACATAACCTAATTTATAAACGCTTGTGATATCGCCGTAAACAGCGGCGGATTTAAGGGTTCAAATAAAGTAGGCAAATCCATATGAGGGGCCTCTTAAAAAATGTCAGTAACATAATACTCAAACCTATTTTACAAAACCGCTCGCTTCGCTCGCGAAAACAGTGACCAACCAACATTATTTTTATAAAAGTAATAGAAAAGGTTAAAAATTTATTTATTTTTTACAAATAAAACAAAATGTATAATAGATATATAAAATTTAATTTAGAAAAATTATAGCTGAGAACCTCTGCGAACTTTTGCCTTCGAAAATTTGTCGATAAAGTCAGTCATATCGAGGTCTTGTGCTGCTTCATACTCCATTGAAAGTAAGGCTAGATTGCTTGTTCAATTTTGAACCATAGTTGAACGAAGATAATTTTTTAATCTTAGTACGCTCATAGCTCTTTCAGCACTCGCACTTCCAATGGTTAGTGTTAAAAAAATTTTTAAAAGAGTTTCCATTTGGGGCAATACATCAGACAATGAATGTTTAATAATGAATACCAAATAACATAATATATTATTATTTGTGCTTTCTGATTCTTTTGAATTAAAATAATAACTCTGAAACGACATTATTTCAAGAGACAATTCGTTTACAGTAAAGTAACTATATTGTAACACAAGAGCTTCGTACTTTTTATTCACATCTTCTATAATTATTTTTTTTAGTACATCTGGATTTAAAAAATGAAACAAATCTAAGACTTTGGAAAATCCATTCATTCTCTCATTTAATTCGCCAATCATGTTGTCTAATGTTTCAAAATAAATTTGTCTATGCTTTTCTTCTTCTGTTAAACTTATGCCTCTAGTATTTTCATCAAATCTTTGGAAATTCTGATGGTCCTAAAACATCCGTAAAGATATCAAAACTTGACCAAACAGTTTTTGTCTCTATAAAAAAAGCATTATATTGATCATGAATTCTTAAAACAATTAATTTGTCTACTACAGATTGAAAACTTTGTACCACCAAAAATAAGTCATTACTTTTTGACTGCAATAGTCGGGATACTACATCAATAATTTGTAGTATTTTATTCCGCCACATTAAATTTAAAAAAAAATACCCAATTTAATGATTTTATTAAACCCCTAGCTCGGAATACACTTTCAGAATTAGTTTCTGAATTTTCAGATTCTTCTTCTAAACATTCTACAACGGATTGAAAATTTGAAAGTAAAGCTTCAGTTGCTTTAACTCTAGCAGACCACCTTGTTTTACATAAACCTTTTAAACGAAGAGGATGTTTTACTTTATTTGAAATATTTTTTTTTCAAACTTGTCATTTTTGATGTATTTTCATTTTTGTGGTCATAATTTTCTATTTCATTTTCACTATCAGTATGTAATGGAATATCATTAGTGTCTTCTAATTCACGTTCATATAAATTTTGATCTTCGTTTACTAAACTTTTAAAACTTTCGGCAGATTTTGATTTTTCTAAAAGTAAGTTCCACCGTCTATGAGAATGAGCGAAATAGTCATAAATGTTTTGGAGACAAACAAAAAAAAATTTAACATTAGCACTGGATTTTTCCTCCGCTACATTTTGTAAAACTAAATTTATTTGGTGACTAGGGCAATTAATATATGGAGCATAGGCTTTTTCATTATTACAATTTTCTTTTAAGTAATCATTAATTTTTTTTTGGAGGCCTCCATGAACGCCACTCATTACCGCAGCCCCATCATATGCTTGGCCAACTAAGTATTTTGTATTTAGTTCATACTGTTTGAAAAGAACATTGACTATTAGGTCTTTTAAAGAATTAGCATCTCCCTTTTTCACTGGTACAAAACATAAAAATCGCTCAGTTATTTTTACAGTCCTTTGTTCTTTATTAATTTCTACAAATCTTATCATAATGGCCATTTGATCTATATGGCTAATATCGGTTGTGGAGTCGGCTATAACAGTAAAAAATTTTGCGGCTTTAAATTTTTTTAAAATTGAATTTCTAGTTTCAGATGCCAATATTTGTATAATTTCTTCAGTGATTGTTTTACTTGTATATTTTATTCTTAGGCTTGATTGTAAATGTTGTTCAAATACCTGGTTATGTTTTGCTATTAGTTTTAAAATCGATAAGTAAACTCCACAACGCGCATCGTTGATATTCTCTCTATGTCCTCGGAAAGCTAAGCCTAATCCAGAAATTGTCAGTACTACATCAAATAATAATTTAAGGATTTCACGCCATTTTTTCACTTCTAATGAATACTGCTTTGAAATCATTGCTTCAATAGATTTACTTTCAGAATACTGAACTAGTGCTACATCAGATCTAAAATGTTGTTTGCTGTTACAATGAATTATGGCTGACTGGGTTAAATGTTTCCAATCCGAATAACCAGAGACCCAAATTGATTGCTTAGTAGCATTATCCCCAAAAAGCCAGCAAGGATGACAATATACAACATTTTGTATGATTGAGTAAGACATCCAATGGTATTTGGTTATCTCGTTCATAGAATTTTTTATTATTATTATTATTTCGTATGGCTTAGATATAACATTCACGGTTTGACATAATAAAATTCACATAGTATAAAATAGGTACAAGTATTAAAATAGATTAATAAAAAAAAAAAAAAAAAAAAAAGATAGCTGATTGATAACAAATTATATAGGTAATACATATATAGGTCTTTATTTAAATCTTTATGTCCAGGGAGTTCAGCCATTGCACTGCATCTGTTGTGGCTTTGTGTAATTCTTTCATTCCTCCTTGGAATCGGCGAATAGTACATTCATCAGTAATGTGTGTAGCAGTTTGCTTTCTGTGTCCGCAATTACATCCTGGCGAGTCCCTTAGTCCCCATTTGTGGAGCATGTGTCCTGTTCTTCCGTGTCCCGTTCGAAGTCTATTTAATGCTACCCAATCTCTTCTCGGGAGGTCAGAGCCCGGAACTCCTTCTGTTGGGTTATTGATTAGGTTGAGTTTGTCAGGATTATTGCTTTTCCATTCATTATTCCATTCTGTGTTTATATTGAATTTTCCTGATATTAATTTTTGGGCAAGCCTCCAAGTAGGTTTTCTTGATTTTAGCCTTATATTAGGTCCAGTGTTTATGTCGTTTTGAATTGGGAGCATTGTATTCGAGAAGCATTTATTCCACTCTCGTATTAGTGAATTGTATCGATGTAGGTGTGGTGGACATAAGTTACTGAGTACAGGCAGCCAATCTATGGGGGTAGATTTAACCGCTCCAGTGATAATTCTCATAGCAGAGTTGAGTTGGGTATCTACTTTATTTGTGTGGGCACTTTGTAACCATACTGGTGAGCAATAATCAGCTACCGATCGTGTAAGTGCTATTGTTGATATTCTGAGGGTATTGCTATCTGCTCCCCATTCTGAGTTTGCTAGTTTTTGGATGATATTGTTCCTTGTTTTCAGTTTTGCAGCAGTCTTTGTCAGGTGTTCATTGTAGGTGAGGGTTCTATCCAAGGTTACCCCAAGATATTTGGGGAAACGGCTATTTTTAATCACCTGTCCATCAAAAATTACGTCGATTTGGTGATTGGCCATTTTATTGCAAAGGTGGAACAAGGTTACCTCTGTTTTCATTGGATTTGGTTTTAATCTCCAGCGTTTGAAATAATGGTTTAAGGATTCTAGGTCTTTATTTAGGGTTGTCTCACACAGGTCAAATGTTTTTGCTTGTGCTACCAATGCTATGTCATCAGCGTATATATATTTACCAGAGTCTGTAGGTGGTATATCATAAGTGTAGAGGTTGAATAACAGCGGTGCTAGCACTGAGCCTTGAGGAAGTCCATTGTTCAAAGTTTTTTGTTTGCTTTCAGCATCATCAATGATCACTTTGAATAGTCTGTTGCTTAGCATGTTGTTTAGTAATTTACCTAGAGTTTGACATGGTATAATTCGTAGAAATTTAGTAATCAGTCCTTCTCGCCATACAGTGTCATAGGCTGCCGTCAGATCGATGAATGCTGTTGCGGTTTTGAGCTGTTTTTCAAATCCATTCTCAATTCGGGTGGTTAATGCAAGAACCTGGTCGCAACAATTTCTTCCTGATCTAAAACCCGCCTGTTCTATAGGGATGACCTGATTTATTGTGTCAGAGATACGATTGAAGACAAGACGTTCAAGCAGCTTATAACTGACGCTAAGCAGGGCAATTGGTCGGTAGCTTTGTACTTCATTGCTTGGCTTGCCTGGCTTAAGTATAGCTAAAATTTTAGTTTTCTTGAAATACCTTGGGAGTTTGTTGCTACCTATGATGTCTGAGTAAAATTTTGAGAGCCATATTCTAACTTTAGGACCACTATGTTTTATGAATTCTGGGTATATGTCATCAAAGCCAGCTGCTTTTCCAGATTTCATGCATTTGATTGCAGTTGTAATTTCGGTGTCAGTAAAGTCTCTCGCAAAAGTAGATTTTGGTTCAGCATTACGCTTGCTTTCCCTTAGTTCAATTTTAACTTTTGTTCTATACTTGTTATCTATTTTTGCCCTGGAGAGTTCAATTATTCGATTAGCAAATGCATTTGGCTTAATTTCGGTATTATGTTTTTTTCGTTTGTTATTGGGATCGATTTTCCTGAGTAGATTCCACGCTTTTCTGCTAGAATGTTTAAAGTCCATTTCTTCTATTGTATTCATCCATCGGGTTTTTCGTGATATGGAGAGTGAATTTAAGAGTGCATCTGCTGTCTCTGGGTTATTGTTTATATGGTATTCATTATATAGATCGTCACTTTCTTTGCTCCAGCCCGGAATGTACTCTTTTCTATAACCCCTTGGGATGCATTTCTTTGCTGTTTGGATGACCATCTTGACAAAGCGATCATAGTTGTTAGCTTCTGGTTTGATCCATCTTATGTTATCATCCAAGCGTTTTCTGTAATCATTCCAGTCTGCCTTTAAAAAATTCCAACGGGGTTTTAGGATGGAATTTGTGATTGGTATTTGAATTCCAACTTTGATAAAGATTGGTCTATGTTGGCTTCGAGGGAAGTCGCTGAGAACTTGTCTACTTGTTTTTACTGGGAGTCCATGGTTGTTTTTTGTCACGAAGCATAGGTCAGGGTTGTAATCTTTTTGCCATCTTGCAGATCTGAATGTACCTACATCTTTTAGGTCGATCATAAGAGCTAGGTCTTTTTGTTCTACCCAATCGTAAAGTGTAGTCCCATTTTCATCATTAGTGTCATAGCCCCATGCACTATGGTGGCTATTAATATCTCCAATAATGAGTGTAGGATGTTGTACTTGGGGGAGAATTGTAGCTGTCCACTTCTCACCAGGGGGTTTATAGACGTTAATTATATTGATTTCCCCTATTCTTATATGGATAAGTGAGATGTTATTATTTATTGTGGTGCAGATATGTTCCCAATCAGAGGTATCATTCCTGATGTATATTGCGGTTCCGTATTTGTTATGGTATGTTGCATGTGCTAGCCTGAAGCCTGCAATACTGCCTCTGTTTAAGAGGTCTTCTTCTTTTTCGGCATGTGTTTCTTGTAGGAGTAGAACTTTTATTTTATTATCAAGTAGTAATCTGGATAGGTATTCAGCTTTATTTCGACTAATGCCCTCTATATTGAGTTGTAAGATGTGTAGCTGGGGGCCCACATCCCGAGTCTGGTAGCCCTGATAAGGGCCATTTTTATTTTTATTATGATTAGTAGGTTGAATGTTATATGTCATCGTGAGATCTAGGACAATACGATGGCCAAGTTTGGTAAATCTTTTGCCGTCTAAGACGTTGCCCGGGGTACACTGCGTGGAAGCGATTTACCGTTGTACCCCAGAATTTTTTATAAAATAATAAGATGATGAAAAATTACGTTTTGTCTTAGGATCTACCGGAAAAGTATTATTTGTCATGTCTTTTTCAAACGGTTGACATGCTCCATATTTTACTAGAGATTGTAACAACTCATTTGTAATTTTTGGATAACAAGCTTTGTGTGATGTCGTTACGGCAATTGGGTGATCAAGAATATCAAGCTTAGTTTTCACATTTAATTCAGTTTTTGTATTGTTATTTGTGTTCAATTCAGTTATTGTATTGTTAATTGTATTTATTTCATTATTAATTGTGTTTGATTCAGTTATTGTATTATTAATTGTATTAACTTCATCAATTTCATTAATCACAGAATTCATTGCCGGTATATTTTTTATCGTATCACTGTTAGATGTAAATAAAAGTTTGGTTTGACTTTGACATTCACGAGCTGTTACAAGAAGTTGACTTTTCTTTTTTGCTCTTTTTTTTGCACCCGATTCAAATTTTCGTTTTTCAGACATTTTTCTATCAAAAAAAAAACTTAAGATAATAATATGTATTCAAATTAATATTCAAAGTTGGTACCTATGTATCATTCATACATTTATCAACAAGGCTGAGAATTTAATACACTATAATAATATAGTCCATCCCAACTTGGTCAAATCTAAATAAAAATCAATGCTCTAAAAACTAGCACCAATTATACTTTTTCAACCAATAACACATAATATAAATTAAATAACAACATGTATAAATATATTATTTCATTAATGTGTGAACAAAATTAAATATTATGCAACAAAACTTTTTAAATTTGTTGTACAAATATATACATTAACAATCAAACATATTATATCCATTGTTAAGTTAATGATATCAAACGTAGAAATATAAGTGAATACCAATAATTGGTACCAATTATTGGTGGTGTGGAGGCAACTACCTGGCCACTACCTTTATTTATATTCATATCAACAAAAACTATATTTATTCTGCAGCGGAAACAATGTCCTAACTAGGGCTGTACGATTATTTTAATCGATTAATCTATTATTTTTAAAGAATTATAAATTATAGTCAATTACCATTCGATTATTCGTCGTTTCGATTAATAATCGTACTACTCTCTCAGATTAATCGAGGGCTGCTGATTAAGTAATGAAAAGATTGTTATTTTACTTACAAAATTATTTTTTTCGTAATCTTGATACGTCTTCATACAACTTGTCGTTTCGTCGAATTGGAATCAAATGATTAAAATAATAGATTTTAGTAGCCACAAGGCACAAACTCACAAATGACTGTTGAAACTTAATGGTTATTTTAGTTTCCCCGATAACAAAGTAGGTACCTACTTGGTATTGGTGTATTTTAATTTGTATTGTATGGGAAAACCAATGCAGCGAAATTGATGACGTTTTAGCATCAATTATAAATATAATAAATAATATTATTTATGATCACTGATTAATGCCCACTACGTGGAAATGTAGAATGTTGAATAACTTATGTACTTATGTATTGAAGTATTCCTAAATATTTAAATTATTTTATTAATAAAACAATAGTAAAACAATTATCAATTCTGTTTCAGTTTACCATAAACAATTCTTTTTTTTTAGTAAAAATTAAAAAAAAATCAATTACATAATTTAGGTGGGCCTCGATACACAATTAAGGAGGGGGCCTCGTCGGCATTTG